ACTGCCATATTTAATTTGTGAGTGTGCATACTGTGTGTAATGTTTTTAATTTGATATATTTGGTTGGGGAGGCGGATTATCGTTGTGAAGTACTGCACTACTCACGAAGTACTGCTGTCATTTACTAGCTGTCATTTGAAAAAATCCCCTTCAACAAATTTAATCCAGTGTTCTCGGCCCACAGGTTCCTCCTATTAAAAAATTTTGATTTTGGTAAATGTGTGCTGACTCCACCACCTATGTATTTAACCTAATATTTAGTGTATTACAGGTAGACATTGACTTAGGTAGGTATTTTTCTCTTAAGGTAGATATTAAGAATTTGGTAAATTTCTTAATTGTATGACTATTTCCATTATTGAGACGTTTTAAATATTTGATTTAAGAGGTTTTTTTTATACGACTGGTTCACAGTGTGAACAGATTCCAGATTTATATATTTTTTAAGTGATATTTAATAAATGATTAAAAGAACCAATTTTAAAGTTGCCATAGTAAAGCCTTTAGGTCCAAAAATATACCCATTATGCTTAGTTAAAAACAACTCTAAATCAGTAGGCTGTCACTCTATTAATGCACCACACCGCTTCCTCCACTGCACTAAAAGTTATACAATAAATTCTACAATCCTAATTTTGTATCGTGATGGAGACCGGTGTCCATACAAAACATTTACTAGGTTGCCGTTTGGTGTGAGCAATAGCGAACAGCACGCACACCCCTTTGCCCCGTCAACCTATATCTAATCTATTTAAAGAGTGACAACCATACTACACATTGAATTAGTAAGTAAGTAAGTAAAGATTATGACATAACATCATCACAAGTGTCTACAAAATATCATTGCACTAAATAAAAAAATAATTTGAATAAATATATTTTTCCATCAACATTAATAATTTATCAAATTCAATTTTATTAATTAATAAAATCTAATACATTATCTATAAATAGTTCATTAATACTTCCCAGTGGAATAAAGATTTATGAAACGCTTCTTTGCCACAAAAGGATGAAACCAAAGATATTCATTATGTGTCTCCTTATTGCTTAAATAACTGGGTCCTTCAATTTTCCCTAAAACTTCATTCGAAACATTCCAAAAATAAAAATCATTTACACTGTTTTTAGAAATCATTTCTTTCTTAAATCCTTCCAATCTAACTTTAAAGCTTAAAACTGTCGAGCAGTTCTTGACATCTGAAGGGAGTTTGTTCCAGTAAGGAATGACTCGCTCCGGAAGAAAAGAAGACTGGAGATTCTTAACTTTAGTTACACTCTTATTACACCTATTGGTTGAAACTAGATTAAGACCAGATCTGCTCATTCTGAACAAACCCGATCCATATTCAGTCAAACCACTAATTACTTTAAAAGCTTCGATAAGGTCCCCACGTATTCGCCGCTCTGCCAGCGTTGTCAAATTGAGGATATCCAGTCTGCAGCTGTATGGAAGAGTACCCACCTCATCAATAAGACGGGTAAACCGCCTCTGGACGCTCTCCAGCTCCAAAACAGTCCCCCAACTTCCATGAGCCGCAACTGGATTCCACAATTGGACACAATACTCAAGATGAGGTCTTATCAAAGCTTTATAAATAGCTATCATTACAACCTTTTCTCTAATAACTAAGTTCCTTACAATCCAGCAGATCATACGATTTGCTTTAGAAATACATGCTTTTATCTGTTCATTCCAAAGCAAGGAGCTATGGGTAATAACCCCCAAATCTTTTTCCTGTGCAGATACTTCTAGTTCTACTCCATTTACAATATAATTCGAGTTAGGATTATTATTCAGATTAATATGGACTACTTTACACTTGGCAGGATTGAAGTTTAAGTGCCAAATACTCTCCCAAATTTCGAGTTCTAAAATATCATCAGATACACTTCTATGGTTAGCTGCATTACAAACTAACTTGAGATCATCTGCAAATAATTTAATCTTATTTTTAACATTGTCAGGTAAATCGTTTATATAAAGAATAAATAGCAAGGGACCCAATACTGACCCCTGGGGAACACCAGATAACACGTGTTTCACCTCAGACCATTGTCCTTCTACACAAACCCTCATGGTTCTGTCTGTCAGAAAGTCTTTTATAACATCTAAAACTTTTCCCTTGACCCCAAACCCCTCCAATTTAGATAGAAGTCTAAAGTGGGGGACTGTGTCAAAAGCTTTACTAAAATCAAAATACAAAAGATCGACAGGAGCACCTTCGTCTAAAATATCAAGAATATTATCAAATGTCTCTAAGAGATTAGATAGACAAGATTTACCCTTCACAAATCCATGCTGATGCTTTGAAATTCGTTCTTCTAAAAATGTTAATAAATGTGCCCTCACCAACTTTTCATACACTTTGCACAAAATACAAGTTAATGAGACAGGTCTATAATTTAAGGGATCAGATTTAACACCCTTTTTGAACAATGCTACAACAGATGCTGTCTTCCAAATGTCAGGCAGGACTCCTGTTTCTGAACACTTAACAAATAATTTAGTTACAGCTTCAACAAACTTTTCATCATATGCTAAGGATTTCAACAACTTTGGATGAACGCCATCCGGACCAGAACTCTTAAAAACATTAAGCTTTAAAAGCTGCTTCTTGATATCAGAACTGCTAATTTCCATATCATCAATAACCTCTTTGTTATAACTCTCATTTTGGGGAAGAGGGCCAGGTGGTTCACGCACAAACACAGAACTAAAGGCACTAGCAAGTACCTCAGCTGACTCAGATGAACTATCTGTGCGTGTACCATCTCCTCTATCTAAAGAAACAACACTTGACTTAACTTGACGTTTATTACGCAAATACGAGTAAAAAGATTTACAATTCTGTTTTAAATTAGATGTAATCTTCTTTTCATAATTTACTTTAGCTTTAATTTCTGCCACCTCAAAAATACGCTGCTTGCTATTTGCACAGCTAAAGTTAATATTCGAAGGATTAATATCAAATTCAGCCCATGCTCTGTCCTTGTTCTTCCTCATTCTTTTAAGTGAAGTTGTACTCCATGGCAACTTGACAGGTCTGTTGTCGAGATAAACCGAAGCAGCTGGGACAGCTGCAGCAACAGACTCCAATTTACCATGTAGTTCAACCCACATATCTTGAACATTATTTGTACAACTATAATCCCAGTCAATATTATTCATACTAAAGTTAAATAACTCTTCTGAGGAAATCTTACCCCAAATAGGCTTTAAAATCTTTTGTTTGGGACTTTTGTTAGTATTGGGCGAAACAACCAGTTCGACTAGTATCCCAACATGATCACTTTTGCCAAGCGGAGAAACGATCTTACAACCGTTGACAAGAGCATCATTTGTATACAAAACCTGATCAAGAAGACTCTCCTGGAGAGTATCTTTCACAAGCCGTCTTCTGGTTGTTTCGTTAGTAAAGTACCACGTCAAACCACTGTCATTGAATAAATCAATATACTTTTGTTGAATCATTAAAACCTGATTCTTACTAGAAATTCCACTATTTACACTACCAGTTTCCCAAGATACATTAGGTAGGTTAAAATCTCCTATGATAATGGTTTCAAAAACATTCTTTTCACTAGATATGTTCTTGATGCAAGATAATAACATATTATTCTGTTTTAAATTCAAAGAAGTAGACCTATAAATACAACAAATACTAATCAATCCACCAGAGGTATTGACATTAATAGCTAAAGAGTCTGGTGCTTTTAAAAATGAGCTCACTAATGAAGCATTGCAACTGTTTTTAATATAAATAATAGAACCTCCACCTCCACTTATGTTGCTAGTGGAGTTATCGATTTTAAAATCTCTGTCTTTTCTAAACATACTAAAACCTTCAATAAAAATTTCAGCATCTAAAATATCACTATTAAAATGAGTTTCTGTAATGCAGATTACATGAATGGATTTATAAACTGATAGAATACATTTTAGTTCATCAATTTTATTAAATAGTCCATTAGCATTAGTATAAAAAATATTCATGGGCTGACTACATTCTTTACCACTGCTATTTACTTCTTCTCCACCTTTTTCTCTGTCTTTTCCTTCTCTGCTTCTTCCCGCCTCTTCTTCCTCTTTTCTCTGGCTAAAAAACGGATCTCTCGGTCTGCTCTGCAGAGATCCAGATTTATCCAGTATGATGACTCTTTCCAGCCCTTGCCATGGTTGGAATAATAGTTAACTGACTCCTCGTCAGCTGTCTGGATGATCAATGGCCGACAGGAGTCTGGCTTACCTGGATCCACTTTACCTGCACGATGGCAACTGATAAAGTCACTTTTTTCAATCTTTAGTGTCTCCTTGCAGAACTTCGAGTCCTCTTCCTGGCGTAACTTGGAGTTAGCTTTCTTGCTCTCTGGTACATTCAAAACACACAGATTGAGCTTCCTTAAATTTCGCTCATATGCATCAGTGTGCATCTTTGTCTGAACTTTACTGACAACACTTTGTGAAGCTTGCTGTAGGCTCATTTCTTCCATAACTTTCTTCTGACTATTTGCAGTAACATCAGCGAAGGACTGGAAAGCCTGGTTCACTATCTTTGATATTTCTTTAGGTTTTTCAGACTCAAAGTTAGTTGGAATGTTCTCGTTCACTGCGTTTTCAACAACCCCTCTGATACAAGGTGTAAGAGCCTCAAGTTCCTGCCTAATAACATTCCGTAGTATTTTTGTTTCTTCATTATCAGGGTTCGAGGTCTGAGTCCTTTTGCTTTTTATGTAAGGTGATATAAAACAATTCTGACAACGCCAGTTAGACAGATGGTCGCCTTCTTCTTGTGTCAGACCTGTCAGTCCAACACAGCAATAATGCCAGTACATATCACAGGTTGCACAAGCTAATGAAAACTCCTCTGCGATATACCTTCTGCATTCACAACTACGGTCTCCTTCATCTTCAGTTACATCCGTTTCTGCTGTAGCACCAGTTTTCTTTGGACTTTTCTTGACATTTCGTTTTCGTGCCGTTTCTCCTCGTGTCATACCTCAAATTATTTGTTATATAGTAGTGTTGAAAGTATTAAAACTGTATTAAAATTAGGATTCCTTTAAATATCAAATTGATTTATTGTAAACTTGTTTACTCTGTAATAAATGGCATAAAATTGAATTTTTGTTTAACTGAATTTTTGTTTAACTGACTGTACACAATGTTTTCAACCCACGTGTCAGAGAGCAAGCTCAACTGACGGCTCCCAGATGGCGTATGCACCTTCCCATTTTGTTAGCCTTAACTGTTGCTACTTAGCTCTGATTTTATTAGCAACCAAAATATCAGAAGCTTTTTTAGTTAACCTACAATAAAACCTCAAAAAACGGGCATTTTCGAATTGAAAACCATCGCTAATAAAACTGGCTAACTCAGATTTTAAGCACTTTGATTAAGTGATGACTCTTGGGTATCGAGCATATGATTCCCTTACGTACTGAAGGAGTATTCTATGAAGATAGTAACAGGCTTTACTATTATTCTTTGGGGACTTTATCTAACATTGGCTTGAAGCACTACTGAACTTATATCAAACAGTAATTATTTTAATTGTATTCGATGAATTGTAAGAACTAGGAAGGATTGTCATATCAAGATCGGTATTTCCTGCAATCAAACAACGAATGACTTTCAAAAATTCCAACAAAATCTTTATAACATCGGTAGAATAATTTCGTCCATTATCAGTACCTAATAAAAATAAGATAAGAATAATACTCCAAAAAAATTAAATTTAAAAAATAAGAACAAATCTAATTCACAAAAGAATGGAAAGCACTCGGGTGTGGGGGATTGTGAGGCCCAAACTAGTAATGAATATGCTAGTCCCTGCATTGGAGGATTGTCATATGAGTAGCAAAGAACCTTGTAACGAACCGACCGACAGAAGTGTCAGTGGGACTGGCCATATTGTAGATTATCTTCATAATGGAAAAATTCTGCAACATATCAAACAGTATGAACATGTAGAAACAAGTTGAAAATAACATACAAAGGATTAAGACACTGAACAAGATGTATGATTCTTAAAGGTGCTAAGATAAGTAGCATGTAAAAAATCTTGAATTATTTGTATACCATTGTTTATGTAAGCACTCTGACGGATGTTACTCGTGCCATGGTCATCTAGTAAATACAGAATCATGAATCAAATAGTTAGAAATCAAGATAACAAATTATCGGTAACGTTCGTGGCGCTCGATTTAACAGAATTTGGTAATTACCAAATGCGCGGCGCAATACACAATGAAGTGTTCCGTGCGTTGTATAGTATAAGTGGCATAGTAGTATAAACTAAATGTTAATAATTCAATAAATAAACCATAAACAGCCGAAGAAAGCATAAAATTATTTAATTATTGTATTAACCGTGTAAGCAATAAGTAAAATTAAATATGTATGATTTGTATTTTGTAAATTTTCAAACTTAACCTCTCCAAAACCTTTACTGGGCCGCGCTCAGCCTGTCATTCCGCCAAATCTTTTAATGTTTATGAACATAATAGCCTGGGGTCCCCAGGTAACAAAAACCTTAAAATTAATGCTAAGACGTTGCCTTGTAGGTTTACAACCTACCAGGACGCGCGCCGAGTTGGACTCGTCCCATACATGGAACAGATATCTTACGAGTACCACCTGCACCCGTTAAACGTTGCCAAGCATTTGAATTTTGTTGACGGTGTCAACCCTTCGAATTCGTTGCTTTACTGCGCAGAGTAACGATCTGTCGATCAGTGATAGGTTTTTTCATTTTTGGCATGGTTTCATGTTTTACGGGCACGATTAGCAATTAGATTTTGATCGTTTTGTGTTGCATGTTTTCACATAGCCATGTGTCTACGCGTACTGCGTGACGCGCTTGTTTCACAAGTAAATAGATTTTGCCGCCTTCGGCGGTCGCGCGCTACTGCAAGCGAGAGGGCTCTGGTTAGAGCAATTGCATATTGAACGCGGCCCAGTAATAAGATTAAATTCTAGTTAGTTTTGGTTTTAAAGTAATCGTGAAGATAATATAAAGATTTGAAGTACAAATTTGTACACCTTAACTTTAAATACTTACAATTAAAATCGAAATCAGCATTTACAAATGTACACAGAACGGTCAAAACCAAAAACCTAATCGCTCCCATTTTTTACACCCAGCACCCAGGGAAGATAATTTCAACAATAAAATTTGAAAAGTTTAAAAAAGACCAAATGTATTTCATATTTGATATAATATCATAAACTACTGACAAGCTGGGTAACGCTGTATTATTATGCCAAGGTTTTAAAATGTTGCTAATATTGATTTAATGTATTGTATGATGAATCTTATTCGTAATCGGTAATTTACACGTATTAATATTTTATGCAACATAACGATAGTTTGCAATTTTGGCAGTGACAATCAGATGGTGTATGGTTCCTAAAGCCCAAAACAATGGAGTTCTGAAATCATTTAAATATTCATAAGCTACAATGTCATTTTTATTATTTATTATAAAGTTTCTTTCTGTCTATAAACAGTAAAATTAATTTTATTACCAAAACAGCGCCGCGCAATGATAGTGCGCATACTTTTTTGAATGCGTGCGGAGGTTGATGACTTTTGCCGGTTTGCCGCGTCTGTAATCAGAATCTTTAATTTTCACACGATTAGTTCAACTTTTCTAAAATGGTGAGTGTATATTCTTATCTCCTCGTTGGTACATATGTATTTCGAAACTTTACATCGAGAACCGCTATTTACTTGTTTACTACTCAGCTCTCTGTTGAAACTGACTATAGTGAATACAATGAGAGTTGTACTTATCATCCTCGCAATTATCAGCTCTGTAGTTCATCCGTATACGGTACGCTTATCCTACGACCAACATCACTCCATTTCAGAGTCATCGTAAGTTTAGAGCACCTAGGCACGGTTCCCTTGGATTCCTCCCTAGGAAGCGATGCGCCCGCCACAGGGGTAAAGTGAAGACCTTCCCCAAGGACGATAAGACCAAGCCATGCCATTTGACTGCCTTCATGGGACACAAAGCTGGTATGACTCACATCCTTCGTGAGGTCGACAGAGTCGGATCCAGTAAGTGCTATTTTAAATATTTTTCAAGATTTTACAATTTTCTTCTACACATTTATTACCTTTTTTGATCTCTAGTTATTTACTTCTGTAGATCAATTTACATAGTGTGCTTTCGATGTGCAAAATCATGTGTTCGGTTAGAGTTCTATAACCAATCTGATTGACAAACAACAACCTGAGCATACACGTCAAATCAAACAAAATTTCAATAAACATTTAGTTTTATGCTGTATCGGAAATATGTTAGATAAGATAAAATGAGTGATCTACTACGCCCACCGCATGTGCACTAATCTATTCTTCTGAAACCTCCTTAATGGTCACTATAATTTACAGCACATTTAAGGTACCAGATTTTCCTCTATTAAACGAGCATTTCAATAAATACAAGATCGGCACGAAACTTTCTGACCTACCCAATTTAATATTGAATGGGGGGGGGGCCAACCATATTAAAGTATATTAAAGTATATCCCCGGGTCAAAATCGGAAAAAATCCTACATTTTAATATACTTTAATATACCTACAATTAGTAGATTAGAAGATAAGCCAGTTGCTAGTCCTCTGAACTCATAATTCATATATTTTGGCTCATAAATTGGTCAAGTATATGGTAAGTCACATGGATTCAAAATTTTAATGGAGAAAATGTAGGTATATTAAAGTATATTAAAGTACATTAAAGTATATTAAAGTATATTAAAGTATATTAAAGTATATTAAAGTATATTAAAGTATATTAAAGTATATCCCCGGGTCAAAATTGGAAAAAATCCTACATTTTAATATACTTTAATATGGTTGGCCCCCCCCCATTGAATCCACAACTGTTGCCGGGCAAACTTAAGTACATTGCTGTCGAGCTTTCAATGAAATTTTAAAGTGGGCCAGAACTTAGCTACATTTTACCACGATCTTAAAAGCTGGTCACTTTAACCGAAATATTTTAACCTCTGAGATATCCACTGAATACCATCTTAATCCTACAATTAGGTGAACGTTATCTGAATTGCACTTAAGTGACTTAAAGCCTAAATTAGTCTAGCTTACATCGCAGAGTTTATCTTTCTGATAAAATGTCTTCGCCAAGTGAGATTTCTAGAGTAAGACTTATCGGGTCTAAAATTCTTGATTGTAGGGAAGGAATTCTTCCCCAGCCGAACTTTCGTGCATAACGTATGTTCAAGTGCCACCAGAAAATTAAAGGAAATGTAATATAAGCAAATATTTTAAGGTATAGTCTAACGGATAAGTCTCACCAAGGATCATTTAGGCTTTCTCTTTCCTATTATTAGCATTCCTTTGGTTGTCTCTACTTAAAATGAGTCAAGAGATTTCAGGAATGCAAGATAAATCAGAGTTTTGCAGTGGGAGGAAACTGCACTAGACATTTCTCTTCTTAAGACTTAGCTACACTTACTTGACACTTAACCGGAGAAAATAATTTTTAATAGAAATCCATTTCTAGTACTAGATTGATAATTTAGTACTACTTGCACTTTAAGATTGATAATATAGTAAGCTACCCTGGCCTTACACAGTAAATAATTAACCAACCAACTGAAGACAAACCAAAATTTGATGACAAATTTGAAATGAGTTTGGAAGACATAACTGATAGGAAAACGTATTAGAGTAAAGCTTATTTAAATTCCTTCTAACCTAATATTATATACCTATTTTGAGTGGTATAATTCTAGTATGGATCTGTTAGATAGAGTTTTGATAACTAAACTACTTACTAAACCACGTCACTCTTCTACTACATCAGTACCGATATATATGAAAACTATGACAGCCTTAAAAAGCTCTTCACATGACCAAGGCTGTATGTTCGTATCCTACATGCACCTTTTGGCAGTGAGTAGGAAGCTCACTTTCAACAACGAAATATCATTTCATTCTCCATAATGTGCACATGTGCATAGTTATAATACCAACATTTTTTAGGGTCTCACAAGAAAGAGGTTGTTGAAGCTGTCACCATCATCGAGACACCCCCAATGATCGCTGTCGGAGTTGTTGGATACATGGAGACCCCCCGTGGACTCCGATCCTTCAAGACCGTCTTCGCTCAACACATCAGTGATGAGTGCAAGAGGCGATTCTACAAGAACTGGTACGTTATCGTTACATAAATATTTTAATTACGCTAGTTCTCACAATCAAGTTTAATTTCTGAACGATAATTTTTCTCAAGTTTTCCTTCGGCTATTTGTAAATATTTTGAAACGAGTGTTTGAAGTTTGCAGCTGTTCTAACCAACAATTGTCTGTAGCTTCGATCTCCGCTCGGCTTATCACCTCACATCTCCACAACCATGTTACTCGTGACTTCTCACGCAACGTCACCATGACAACTGTAATGTTACTATGACGTCACGTGAGAAGTGACGCGTTGCGAGGTTGGCGCTACAGTTTGTAGTTCGGAGTGCGAGCGTGTTGATGAGATCAGGCTCTGTGTTCAGGTACAGATGCAAAAAGAAGGCACACACCCGAACTGGCCAGAAGTGGGCTGATGAGGATGGAAAGAAGAGCATTGATGCCGACTTCGATAAGGTTAGCTTGATATAACTAATTATTAGAAGTATCTGTCTTATATGATATTGCTATTTCAATTCAATGCCACGGACTAGACAAAAGGAATGTTTCTTATTTAAATCTTTAAAGCAAACTTAACCTTGGAATCGAATACTCAAAGAAAAGAGGGCCATCTCCAATACCAAATTCTTGATATTATCATGATATTCAAGGCCGCAGTATTGGGACACTAATTATTCACTGCCTGTTCACAAGTTGTTTGATATATCCTATTACTTGTTGCAAGGCTTTGGTACAATTTAATTTAGTATACGAAGACAGTAGCGAATAGATTATAGAATAGCCTAACTCTTAGAATTCAAGTAAAATTCCTCTTAAATTTGCTCCTAAAGTGTCATTGGCTTTGTTCATATTATAACGCTTAACCAATCCTCCAGATGACCAAGTACTGCGTCGCAATCCGTGTTCTCTGCCACACCCAGCCTAAACTTTTCAAGCTGCAGGAGAAGAAAGCCAACATCATGGAGATCCAGATCAACGGTGGAGAAATGGCCGATAAGGTAAGAACTAAGAAGCAAAATAAGGATTTCTCCCAAATATTGTCTCAAGTAGAGTTTATAGCATCTAGTATCTCCATCTCATTATTATAGTGTTTTGGTCGTATGGATGCAATATTAATTAAGTACACCATATCGTTAAGTGGTACGTCTCAGCGTTTCACTTTGGTGGTTTGCACTTACAATTACATAGTCAGTTAATTAATTAGAACAATTATCTAATACAGAATATAACTTAAGATTGTACAATTTTTAACATATGGTTTTTTCAGGTCGCATTCGCCCGATCTCTCCTGGAGAAGCCCATCAGCGTCAAAGATCTCTTCGCTCAGAACGAGCTGATCGATGTTATTGGAGTCACCAGAGGTCACGGATACAACGGTGTAACGTTCAGATGGGGAACCAAGAAACTGCCCAGGAAGACTCACAAAGGTCTGAGGAAGGTCGCCTGTATTGGAGCTTGGCATCCATCTCGAGTGTGTTTCTCTGTACCAAGAGCTGGTCAATACGGATACCATCACAGGTAACTTAAATTTGTTGATTAATAGTTTAACGTCAAACTTTGAATTTGCGGTGGATATTATTAAAAGTTCTAGCATTCCTTTGGTTGTCTCAAACTTAGAATGAGTTTAGAGCTTTCAGGAATGCAAGATAAATCAGAGTTTTGCAGTGGGAGGGAACTGTACTAGACATTTCTCTTCTTAAGACTTAACTACACTTACTTATGAAGTGAAGGATATCGGCAATGATAAGTAAATTGCAAAACTTGTTTTGAAATTATATGATAAATTAAATAATCAAATAATAATTAAACTTTTGGTTCTAAAAATCTCTAAATTTCAGGACTGAAGTCAACAAGAAGGTTTACCGTGTTGGAGTTAAGGGAGATCCCAACAGTGCCTCCACCGCTTTCGATCTTACTGACAAGCCCATCACACCAATGGTTCGTCTAATTTTTACAGATTAACAAAATATCCAAGCTTTGAGGTTGCCAACTTAAACGCCTGTTAGCCACATTTCTCCGCTTAAATTATTCCAATATTAGGGAATATTAGCTTTCTTTCAATTTTTTCTGAACTTCCCAAATTTTCAGAGTTAAGCGTAGAGTGTCACTTAATTTGAGAGATTTAAAAGCATTCCCTTGGTTGTCCAAACTTAGAAAGTGAGTTTTGAGATTTCTGGAATGCGAAATAAATCCTAGTTTAGCAGTGGGAGCGGCTTGCATCTTGCATTTCGCTTCTTAAGTCTTCACTACAATTCTCAAATGAAGTGGTACTCTTCGCGAAAACTTCCGTATGTCCACATATTTTAATTAAGGAGAAAAACTAAAATAAAACGAAATAACACCGTGGAGTGGACCCTCTCAAACCTTGACCCTGAATATAAGCGAGCATTATCTAGTTCGCTATATGTCACAACTTTACCCTGTCCTGAATTTTATGCTCACTCACAGCCACCGCACAACACTCGCGCTTTGTAAAGTACACATGCAGTAGGCACTCTTTGAGGGTAATTTTGCGCGCGCGCACGACGCGCATCTTTTACATAGATTGAGCTCTACAATTGTGTGTATCACATCATTTGTAACCAAACAACTCCGCTTGCATGACCAGCTGAGATCAGTGTTTCAATTTATTAGGAATGGATAGGATATGGTCACCCGGAAAATACACTGTTCAAAGCGCTACAAGATGGCCTGATTCCATTAATTGTCTTCCATTATTACGTCGATAACTGGCATCCAAAGTGTGTTACTATCTAAAATCCACATTCCCGCCCAACATGACCCTTCCTGAGACCCTTATGTTTTGAAGAATGATCTATCATTAATTACAGTTCTAACCCACAATCTTTCAGGGAGGTTTCAGTCACTACGGTCAGATCAACGAAGATTTCCTCATGATCAAGGGAAACGTTGTTGGACCCAGGAAGAGGCTGCTTACCCTCAGAAAATCTCTCCTCGTCCACACCAAACGTGTTGCTCTCGAGAAAATCAACCTCAAATACATCGATACCGCCTCCAAATGGGGACATGGTAGATTCCAGACTGACGCAGAGAAGAAAGCATTCCAAGGCTTACTCAAAAAAGATAGAGAAGCTATGGAATAAATTTATTCTTAAGTTTTTTTTATTTATTGAGATGCTGTGTTTCTATTGTCTTCTCTGAAATTAAAATTATAATTTAGAATCCCGTGGGATTCCAAGACAAATAATTTTAACTAAAGTATTGCAACACATGGTGTCGCTCAGCACAAAATGTTAAACGGCCTAGGCCTCGGAAACAAACTAATTGTCGGCAGCTGTGGTGGGCTCCTTGTGCAGAAATGCGTGCATATTATCTTCCTCCTTGTTGACACTAGTGTGAGCTTGGAGAAGCATGATGAGCGGGCGTTGCCAGGTAACTGGCTATCCCGTGAATGGAAGCCTATATAAATAGTACTTACATATCCCAAACAGTTCACCATGATTTCCGTAGTTTTATCTCGAAATTGCACTTATCGTGTCTAGTGCAACTAAAAATCCTAGTCAAACTCGTGATGTTATAAAATTAGAAAATTGCAGTCCCCAGCGAACCATGTTGGGAATAATTATTTAGAATAAAGCTCCAGAAATTAACCTCTTTTATCGTAGAGCGAATTAATAAAAGCCTTCCTTATACGCAGAAATGAGCTAAAACATAGCCTCCTTAAAGTTCGTCTCCACAACATTGCCAATCTTTTTGGCTAATACCTTTAACTAGGTTAAGTTTGTCTCCTCAAAAAATATTTAACCATAGGCCAATTTATGGACTGAAATCTATTTAAATTAGTGTGTACGCCAAAAATATGGTTCTATGGAGTTTGGCTCACAACTCCGCCAGTTAAAAAAAAAAGCTTTGTCACTGGCCTTATATTATCAGTTTGTAGTTAGTTGTTAAACTGCTACTCTCTCCAGATCACAAAAAATCAGGTTGGACTCTCCCCTTTCGGTTCATCCAAAAGCCTGTCCAGAAGTTGAAATACTATGTGATATTGCACATATTGAGGGAGAATATTGGGACCGGCCCCTGTGTTATCAGTTATGCCCACGGATTGTTCTGAGCGTTATTTGGTTGTTGGTATGATTCGGAATCAGCGTTCAAAGATACATCGTTGGTTTCAACCGTACTCCCTGGGGCTCTATTTAGAAAATGCCCCAAAATGTTTGTCTAAAATGTCGAATTCCAAGACTTAATCTGTCAAATAATGAATAGATTTTTAAACACTGCTGGACGTCCATTTATTCTAAAGTCTCCACACAAACAATTTAAACGTCTAATGCATACTGTTTAATATTTGAAACTAAACCATGATTGGAATCTCTGCTTAGTTCTACACACCTAAGAAATTATCCGACGGTGCGCAAAGCCAAGACGAACTCATTCGGCGGCTGCGCGTCACATTCATGCAAATTATTTGAACGTGTCAAATGTACCAAATTTCATGTTGACTCGACCACATGCAGCTCAAATAACTGACTGTATGCATTTTAGAACAACTAAAAATGATAGTTTTTATCCTTTCAATAAGTATAAAATACAAACTTTACAAGTTCTACCTGATTTACACATAAACAAATAATTTCCAAGAATCCATATGTCTATATTATTCGTTTAAAAATGTGTCAAACTTCCAATCCTAATTACAAAGGGTTAAAACGTTAATACTACTGAAATTTAAAAATCAGGATATTACTAATCTACGTTTGTTACATTTACGAATATCAAAAACATAATACATTATAAACTGAATAATCAATAATAAACAAAATGCAGTCATACAATAAAGGTTATTTCAAGTCGTTCTTTAAAAAATGTTTTAATTTTACTCTAGAGACCTTCTTCTCCTTTAATCAATAATCATCTTCAACTCCACAAATATATAACAGTTATTAGAATGTATGTAATGTTATCTCAGATTCTACTCAGCTCTGGCCGGCAGCGATCTGGTAAACATTAAAAACAATAGTCCAGACAAAAGTAAATCCTCCCAAGAACATTAGAATAGAGCCGGTAACCTTGTACCCCCAGTTACCACTCCGGCTCTCAATCCACAACATGTAGCCCGGGAAAAACAACATGAAAAGCGCCGCGATGCTTCCAACGAAGGAGAGGACGATGCCAAAGGACGAGGTGACGCACGCAATGGCTAGTGCAAGCCCATGCCACAATAGAAGAGTTATCACACGCCGCTTTTCTGAGTTCCTCTCCAGTTGCACGCTGAACTTTTCAGCAATCTGCACGATGGTGTCGTCAATAGCACCGCGTCCCAGGAACACAAATATCGGGTAACTCCCGATAACGCTGACAGAGATGGCGCCACGAGCGATCGTCATCAGCCCGTCCTTTGAGGAGTAATCCAGGAGGACATCAGGATTAACTTTAGAACCAAAGGTCATTAAACCAAACACTCCTGCCAACATGTAGCTCACAAAAACTAGACAACTGGTTACCAGGATCACGACAGTGTACTTTGCAACTGAGCGCTGGTGAAGCTCGTAGTACAGCGGCACGCTGGTCATGTGACATTGGAATCCTAAGGTGAATACTGGGAGGTACTGCATGATGGGAAGGATGCCGATGTCCGGCATCCAGATTTCTTCAGGGACATCAAGCGCTAATTTGTAGTAGTCTATGATGATGGCAGCCACAATGTAAAACACCGCGAAGACAGAGAACACACTCACATAGCCGAAACTGCTGATATTTCTCACCCAAATCAGCGGGAATATCAGCGTCATACTACCCACAGGAATCAGAAAATCCCTCTTACAATACCAACTATGTTCCACCTCCGTATCAGGATCAACTCCATCAGCTAGCTCACATATCTTAACCGCCTGGTCCCCCATAGTGATGTGAGTAGCACATGACAGGGTGAAGAAGTAGAGGATCAGACCGAACTGGGAGAGAAGCTGAACAGTAGGTCCGCACATTCTCCCCACTAAATCCTGGTAGTTGGATCCGTTGTATTTATCCACCGCGTCAGCTAACACCATATGGGAAATATACCCTATAAACACCACAAACAGTTCCATTATAACCGCTGTTACAATACCGATTTGTCCGAAAGAGCAGGGTAAGATAAGAATACTTGCCCCCATGATAGCGTTCATCAGGATGAATATAGCCCCCATCATGGAGCCCTGCCCCTCTGCCTCGTCATCATCCTCATCGTTCCCATCCCACTCACGTGACATCATTGCATTCATCACGCTGATACTTTGCTCGTGGAAGGATTGGAGCCGGCCCCTGTCTCCTTCCACCTGGATTGAGCCTGCTTCCCCCATCGACATTGTCTTATCAGGCTAGGTACAGTGAGGTGGGTTAACATTTGAACTTTGTAACTTGGCACTTTCTATTGTGTACTACTAGCAAAATCCGGACAAAACTAGAAACAGTTAAACAAAAATGTGGGGTATATTTACTGTTTATAAAAGCTTTTGTTCGAATGGGAACTTAGTAATCTGTCAAAACACACCTGGGGAAAGTTAGGAGCAAAAAAAGAACACTCTATAACATCAATAACTCCATAACATCTGGAGCAGAGCCGGAGGAAACACAATTAATACAATTTACAATTAATTAATTAATAAATACAATTTACAAAGCATTCCGAGATACCTAGATGTTTCACTGGTTTGCTTCAACAGATTACCAGATTACCAGATTACCGTTATAATTTAGGGTTTTATATTCATATATTGATCCTTGCCAAAATGTTACACAAAAAACCTCATTTGAAAAGAGTTCCAAATTAGCCGGAGTTTCAGTATATTTACTCACAAGTTAGCGTAAAATCAGGCCATTACGACAAACAATGTAAAGTGAGAAGGTATAATGTGTGATACACTGAAAGCAAAATACAAGCAACAGGAACAATAAGCCTATTAATTAGGTCATATTAAGGGAACTAAGACCCAATTCCTTGAACCAAAGGTGCCCCACAAACAAACAAGCAAGCAAGCAAGCAAGCAAGCAAGCAAGCAAGCAAACAAACAAACAAAAAACAAACAAGCAAGCAAGCAAACAAACAAACAAGCAAGCAAACAAACAAACAAACAAACAAACAAACAAACAAACAAACAAACAAACAAACAAACAAACAAACAAACAAACAAACAAGCAAACAAACAAACAAACAAACAAACAAACAAACAAACAAACAAACAAACAAACAAACAAACAAACAAATAAACAAACAAACAAACAAACAAACAAACAAACAAACAAGCAAACAAACAAGCAAACAAACAAACAAACAAACAAACAAACAAACAAACAAACAAACAAACAAATAAACAAACAAACAAACAAACAAACAAACAAACAAACAAACAAGCAAACAAACAAACAAACAAGCAAGCAAGCAAACAAACAAACAAACAAACAAACAAACAAACAAACAAACAAACAAACAAACAAGCAAACAAACAAGCAAACTAAGACATACGTTTAATAAGATAAAACATGAAGGCATGAAACACTGTACCTGACTGAACGTAACCTGATCAAGCAAAAGACAAGCAATAATGCTATCCGCCTTATCACCTGATTTGCTATCTACCCTAACTTGCAGTTCAGCAATAATAATACCTTCCAGTTCATGACAGTGTTGCAACTTGACACTGGTATTGTCGTCACATTCCGTCAGCCCATGCAGTCCCATGTCTTCATTATGTTTGGTGTGGTAGCCGGTAGCGGGTACTATTTTTAGTGCATGTTTTCTTCTTATCTTAGTTTTTAGAGATTATCAAATATCATGAATAAGGAGATTGGTAGAAACAAATGATACATTATACAATCTTATAATTATCAGAGAGTTACTGTTATTATAGTGTGTTCACTGGACAACATTTCTAAATTAATTAGGTATCACAAACTAATTAATTTAGAAAGTATTTTAATACTTTCAACACTACTATATAATAAATAATTTGAGATCACGGTACGATGTTGTCACATTGATCAATAAAAATTCTACCCAAGAATCATATAATCTGGAAGTTTACAAAATACACTGAGTATTTATGAAAACAATTACTATTTACTACAGTGAAAAAAGCAAACCTCTACACTTTGAACTGTTATTTGGAGATAATCGGTTTACCAAACTAAAAGACAACACACAGCTACTAAGGAACACACAACACAATGAATAGTTATAGATATATAACACCACACATGATCCAGCGTTACATTATGTAATGGATTACACTTTTATTATAGGAACGATAATTCTTCTTCCTTTCTGTGCACAGCGTGTACGTGACAATATGATCATGATGTTGAAATGAGAAATAGATTCACATCCACATTGTAAGGTTGTAAACGCTCACAGAGTCACAGCTACAATATGATAATAGCTAGCTGTATATACAGCTGTACAGTGTACGTGTCATTATGATGAAAGGATTATAATAACTAATATATAGAATATACACGTGATATTTGGGGGGGGGGGGGGGGGGCAACCATATTAAAGGATATTAAAATGTAGGATTTTTCCCGATTTTGACCCGGGGATATACTTTAATATACTTTAATATACCTACAATATACTTTAATATATCCCTATCTCCTTGGAGGCCTACATCAAAAATTGTTGCCCAAAATAAGCTTGAAATGCAATTCTTAATCGATTCCAAAAAGTTCTTGAAAAAATATTGAAAACTGAGTTATTTCAATTTTAATGAAGTCATTTTGGCTAGTATTCTGAACCGAGATATTATGTGCAATTTTCCCAATTTTGTTCATGGAGGTCTTTTTACTTAGTATCCACTATATTCAACAAACACTGAGGTATATCTTTCACATAGAGTTAGTCTCATTAAAGAATATTGAAATTTTATCGAATTTGGGCGAAAGCGAATTTGGGCAAAAGCGTATGCCCAAATATGGGCATATTTTTTAAAGCTCATAGCTCAGCCAATTTTGGACCAATCTGGATGGAAATTCATGTACTAGTCCTAAAACAGGCTTATCTTGCGAATCTGAGGGAAAATATAGTTCATCATGTAAATCTTAACGAAGAATATAAATCTTCTAATTGTATGTAGGTATATTAAAGTATATTAAAATGTAGGATTTTTTCCGATTTTGACCCGGGGATATACTTTAATATACTTTAATATGGTTGGCCCCCCCCCCCCCCCCCCATATTTAGTTATTTGTTTTAGGGAAATATTAGACTCAGGCGTTACTTTTAACTATCCCTTGTTTAGAACTTTTATTTAATAATTTAATATAGCACGTGACTAATTAAAATAATTTAGCAGGCTATCACGTGTCAAGACGCCGGGGTCGTGTTGTTCTATCTACGAGAGACATTATCAGGGTAGATAATAATATCATGTATTTTATACAATTTACATCGTATTTTTACAGGGCTAACACCCAACATGGTAAAATAATCTATATTTGAAGTCCTACCCTGAAGTCACAGAGTTCTTATTATCCTAACTGCAATTCTGGTCTTATCACTGTGTTCTCTGTAGGAGTCTGGAAATGCAGGATGATCCTGATCACGTGACCCCGGCGAAGTCACGTGACCTCTTGTACGACAGGAGGGATTATTTAAAGGAGAGATTTTTCTTGTTCCTTTCTTTGAACATGAAGGATGTAGCATTACGTTCCCATATTTATTAAATTAATACATGACGTTCCCAGCTATATGAAAAGAGTTATATGTATATGTATAAAAACAATGGACTTGTTTCACAATTTAGTTTTAGTAAAATAAAAAGGTATCTTATTTTGTATTGAGTGAATGTGTTTAATTTTAAATAATCTTGCTTCCTGTTTTTCACGTCCTCCTCTTTAAAACAAAGTGTAGTATTTTGAGTCAAATTTAATAACTTTGGTCTATTTTTTATTTAGCCAAGTAAAACACTGCAATTTCCAACAGAAACTAAATTAATAAATTCACTATCACAAATGTCAAATAGTTCATAACACATATATTATGATAATGATATTTATCCTGAAACAAAAAATACATCGAACTGGTACATTTTAAATCTATAATATTAATAGAAATTATTATTAAGAAACTGTTCACACCATTAAAAAAATCAAGAAATGATCCTAAAATGGTGATCAGTACAGATCAAGACAGCTAGAGTAAAAATTTGTTTCACCGAGCAACTTTATCATTGGCTAATATCTTAAGCTTATTAAGATCATTCAAATAGTTAAATTGTAAACCTCTACGGGTCAAATCATTCACAATAATCTTGAACAAATTCTTACGATGCGCCCTTTACAGTTTGTTGTGACAGCAAACTTTAACGCTAATGCTGCGGGGGAGTCATCAGCACTACACAAGATATGACCTAGGAGCTTCCACCTTGCTTTAGATAGATCAAATTATCTATCTAAAACCATATTTGGTTTTATCGTTTTCTAATTCGCCTATAAAATACTTTGACTATTTAAAAAATGCCCAATTCATTAAAATTATTGTCATAACTCATAACATTCAATCAAATTAATTCCAACTGACAAAGGTTCAACTAAAATATGTAATTATTATATTATATGTATTATACATCTCGAAACCTTTTAACTTACTAAAAACTTTTCACTTTAAAAAACATGCCATTATGATAATATTATGTAATTATCAACTCAAGGTTGATGTGGTGTATAGCCCATAAAGTCCATAACATTTTTACATTTGTCCTCAATCGCTCGAACTATGTCTGGCTTCAAATTATTCTTCCACTTTTCGAGGACCTCCGTTGAATTTCTGCTCGTGTTAAGAACACCTGCAATTATTTGGTATTTTTCAACTAAATAGTGGATTAGGCAATTAGGCAATACAAGTAAATGGATAGCGAATTTATTGTTCGTTAATAATTTGATTATTTAAATACCGGAAGTACTAACCTTTCTCTTTAACAGTGGTATGTGAAATTAAGAAATCAGACATATCGTCAGGAATTTTCTTGCCCAAAAACTCGTATACTCGTTCAGCTATCTTTATAGGCTCTAGAGACATCTCATCGTGAGTAACTCGCAGAAACCTGTGTAATTATGTAAGTAATTATGGAATTATGTGATTAATTATGCAAATATGTGATTAACTATGTTATAATATTAATTGAGCGCTCACAGAATAGGTAAAAATGGGTAATGATGGGTAAAGATCAGTGACTATTAAGGGAGAAGACGAAAAAATGATGCCTAGATAAACCAAGGCTGGTAAAAGTTGCAGGATATTTCCCTTGTTCATGATCCAGCACCATGAACATGTGATATCAAATTGCAGTTCTTTACCTCAGCAACTAAAACTACAAAAGCTACATTCCTTAAATTCCATGAGGTGCGTCAAAACTAAAATATATTCCTCTAGAAAACTAGAACGTGTCCTTGTCTCTTAAAATATGTAGTAGTACAAAGTGTACAGCACAGTTTAAAATAAATGTAATGCACAGTTTTAAATAAATGTAATGCACAGTTTTAAAAGGTTGGCTGTGAACCGTACATCACACATACATTATATACACCTGGTAACATTAATCAAATCCCCATGTTTTGTTCAAATGATATTATTAATTGTAGTAACATACACTCTCAATTCTCATACACTGATATAATGCGTTGTACCTCATAGGACGATGTCTGACACTATACTACGGCGGCACTATTTTACCAACCAGGAGTCAAGACCTACAAACTATATTATAGCTTTATAGGGGCATCCAGACCTACAAACTATAATATAGCTTTATAGGGGCATCCAGACCTACAAACTATATTATACACAGCTTTATAGGGACATCCAGGGACATCCGGACCTTCTTATAGTATCATGATATGTGCTGAATGTCACCTCTCCACAACAAAATACATGTTTTTCGCACCTTTTTTGATAAACAAAATGTAGCCATAGGCTAGGCGGAGAGAAATAGGGACTATTTTATGAGTGAAAAAATATAAAGAAGTAACCGAAGGGGGAGGGCGGAGGGGGGAACGAAGTCCGGTCCGGGGGGCATCTGTCCACTAACCTGCCCTGTAACCAGTCAGGTAGTTTCTCAGTGTACTGGATATTATCCCACTCTCTGTCACACAGATTAGCTGCCGCTATCCCCATCTTCTCAGGAGTAAGGGGTTTCACCTTCAGGTTCTCTATGTCCTGGGGTAACATTATTTGGTTTCACCTTCAGGTTCTTTATGTCCTACGGTAACATTATTTGGTTGTAACTAAAAGGGTATAACCCTAAGGACCCGGTTGGAAGCTTCTATTTCAATAGTTGTACCAACACATTTAAGTACATAGTATTATGTTAGTTAAGATATTGTTATTCGAAAATGTTAGTCATTCGAAATGTTAGTCATACTGGAAATATTATGACCATCTAAATTGTTGCCAATCAACAGTGCAGCAAGCGATTAAAGCAAAACCTGCTTTAAAATTACACATGTACATTACGAAATCATGTTATTACATACGTTTTGTAAAAACTACCCAAACAAAGAAAGGTAAAACAACTTATTTTATTAACTAACGTCAAGGTAGAAAGTTCCGAATCCAAGTCGACTGTTCATAGTGCCCCGAGGGTCTCGTATAAGGTGTATAACGTATACATTAGCGTCCTTTATCCCTGGTACTAGCTCTAAATGCTGGATACGTTGCAGTCTTATCAACTGAAGAGGGTGGTTTAGTTAAATAACTCTGATCAGTAAATAGTTCAGTTACTGATTGAGTAAATTAATTGGTATTAAGGAAAGACAACGAGTAAAATATTATTATTATATACCTAATGTGACATCAGAGCTATAAATAAACTGTATTTTTAAGAAACTATAAATGTTTCCAATCTTGCATTGTGTTAAAACAAACCTTTAAAGCAACAATGTCTCTACGTGTGCACTGTTTGTCCCAGCGCTTATCTGCTTTATCGCACTCTGGAGTTCCGTAGCGCTTCATATTTTCTTCAGCGGAACCACATTTCATACCTGTGATATTTAAGTTTTTAAGTATTGCAGATAATTCGAGTATGTCAGATAACCCTAGATAAATATTATTATCTACACTGAAATGCGACATACAGGATGTTCCAATACTCAAATTAAACTGTTTGTCTCATTTGTTAAATTTTGAGAGCCATTCAAAATTTGGATACAAGTCTTGTAACACTCTGTATATATTTGCAAATAGTATAATTTACCTAAAGACATTCCCCCAAACATTGGCCACTCAACCTGGCAATTATTAATCATCTGGTCCAGATACGCTGTCCTCTGTTCAAGTAGTGTGTTCTCTTCTGTAGCACCTGATAGAATAGATATATAAAAATAAAGTAAATGTTTGTGCTTGGGGTGAAGATGGGCGTGGTCATATGGACATGATGCCAAGTGTGAGACGTGTCTTCCAAAATCCATTCTGGGACTCAACTCTCAAGGGGAGTATCTCGTCTTAAATAAGATGTCTTGCGATTTGAAGGTAGTGACTGGACTACTGCTGAATAATACTTCTGGATTTGTTGGCAAAAATACCGGCATTTACTAATAACTGCAGAAATTTACATTTATAAACACAAACCATGGATAGCGTTGTCTCTGACAAGAGCTTTGATATGATTCTGATGGAAGGGTTCAAACAAATACAAAACATCTGTGTTCTGATTAAAGAGTTCTCCCAAAAATGTTGAGCCAGTCCTAAAACCTGTCACTAAAATAACATACATCTTCTTGCTACTTCTTGGATCACCATGAGCCTCATGATGAGCCTCACGGTCACTATGAGAGTCACTATGAATATTATTACGTTCTTGATGGTCAAGCTGACTTGATTGTTCAGTTTGTACAACAGTTTGGTTGTTGTAAATTTCCTCGGGGTTGTATGGAAGGATGAAGGTTATCAAAATAACTGTTGCAATAATTATTATTGCATATTTGAACAGTTTTGAGATATTCATGTTTGATTCGAATGTTTGGTAAGGTGAAGGTTCTGTGATCGAGGTAAAAGCTTTATATCATTCCGTTTTGTGACATCTAGGTTAAAGTTTATAATTAGCAATTCATCTTTAAATAGATATTAATATTATAGAGCTAAATTAATATCTTACGATTCAAAAAATTGAATTATCTATAAAGGTGCTCAAATAACATTTTAAATATTTCATCAGCAATGACAGTTTGAAAATATGTAATATATTATGTGAACAGGTTTGAGAAGTCAGCCAATGATGAGGCTGGACCGACAAATCAGAGAATCAGTGCTTTTGCTTCAGTGCCAGGTTCAAATCCTGGTGTCAGAAATTTATGAATCTTGGAATAAGGTTCCTAGCCCATCTCTGGAACAAAAATTACGTAGCCGCTAAAACTCTGGGATTAACTATTCATCATCGACTACTTTCCCAGCTCAAGTTTAGTCTTTTGTGGCTACCTTGGCTTCTTTTTGGTAGCCCGGATTACCGTTCATGTCATGGTTAGAGCATCCGCCTTCTGCGCAAAATGTTCAGGAATTGAATCCCAGTGTCACCTAGTCTAGGGAGTAGCTAAGGATCCATTAGATCTATGTGATCTCCTCGGTCGACTCAGCCGAATGATAGGAAACTTAATTGAGGGTTACCTGTTAAAAGTTCAAGAAACTTCCTAGGATACCCCTTCAGTGCATACTGTAAATATAGTACTATTTACTATTATCATTATATGTCAGCTCCAGTATGTACGAAACTTTTAAAAAATAAACTATTCAAACAATATACACATTATGTCACAATAATGATAATAATTATTATCAAACATGTCAATCTTACAAATGTCAACAATCCTAAAATAATTTAGAACCTAAACGTGATCCTTTGTAAGATTATATGTCTCAAAAGTCAAATTGACTTGTACTCAAGAATAAAATCGAACAATTTACTCCAATAACCACGGTTACTAGCAAGTTCTCTCAAATGAAGAATATCATCATACGACTCCAGCAAGATGAAACGCTTCCAGAGGTCAACCTTCAGGTGGTGTAGGAGGTTAAATTTCGTCGAAGGGTACACCGGTACATCTCTAACAATATAATTGTAGAGGTTCCATGAAAACCAATCCAATATCAACCAATCACGATAAAGCATTATTGATCGTGAAAATGAAAAGAGTCGCCTTTTGAAGACATATTAAGATAAAAACATTGAAATAAGTATGGACACCACATTAATGAAGATAAATGAAAAGATAGTAAATAATAAAATTCCACACTATCAAACACTAAAAACTAATAATCCATTTTTGTGAAAATATGAAAGTGCTCGGTTAAGCGCTCGATTTTCATTCTATGGTACGTGTAAATAGTTGTCTACGTTGTAAGACCCGCCGCGCACGAGTGCGCGGCTTCCTCAGTATCGTAGAAACCTGAAACACTATAGTGAAACGACAATGGAGGTCACTATAGTGAAACGACAATGGGGGTCACGGCGTGATACAAGTAAATAGGCGAAAATGTGCGCGGTGTACCTAAAATTTTCGTTTCATTTTAAAATCGATTTTTTGCCATCGCACACGTAATTTGACCATTGTTAACGGTCTGGCCCGGTGCGCGCTACTTTGTAGCACTTGCCATCGGGCCATCGGGTTAATTGACGATGTCAATTCATCGCAGCTCGGCGCGGCACAGTAGCGCATCTCGCCGATCTAGCGAGAAGCCTCATTGAGTGCGCGGCGCGCCACAAGCCATCGGGTCATTTCGAGAAATAAGCGGTGCGCGCTTCTTCTAGGTAGTGCGCCATCGTCAGTGAGCCGCGCGTGCCGACTGTAGGATGGTTTTTTAGCGCTAATTTCGGCCAGCACAATTTTCTTCAAACAAATAGATATTAAGTATCCTTCCCGACCTCTGATTGCAACAAAAATTGGTAAGCTTACTTATAGACTTACAAGAAAGGTGTCCGAAAAGTTTAAAGCATATCCAACCATCAAACATTATGTTACAGCTAAAAGCAGCGTATTTTGCCCCATTTTGATCATTATATTAACTCCGATATCCACCAAATTTTTCGGACAGTTGTAGCTAGAAGCCCTATTGGAAGGTCGTCGCCAATTTTCAGAATGATCTCATTCAAGGAACTGAAGATATATCCAAATAATACGACAAAAATCAACGAATTTGGTCAAATTTGGTCAAATTACGCGACTTTTACAGCTAATTTTGCTCTAAAAGCCGCGCACCATCAAATATGGCACCTAGGCGAAACTCACTGATCTTTCCAAAAAGGCATGACAAATTTGGTACTGTGAAAATTCTCACAGTCTCTAGAAAACAATGGTACAAAAATTTTTAAAATCCGAGCAAGTTTGTTTTTATGGTGCACCCCTACTTCTTCGAAGAAATTTAGACGAGTAACATCCGTCAAACTGCAAACACGTAATGTGCATTAAATTTTATATTAATGATTTTTGTCTTTTGATAGGCTAAAATTTCAAAATTATCATAGTTGCACACTTTTATTCATTATTTGGCCCAAAATGAATATTTTTAGAATAATTCGTACCTGGCAGTCCTTGCACGCAAATCTTGACATACGTTGCATGCCACTTTTCGCGCGCCGCCGAAGGTTACCTGAGGACCCCAGGCTATTATGTTCATTAACACAACCGAATAAAGATTTGGCGGAATGACAGGCTGAGCGCGGCCCAGTAACGCCGAAGGCAAATCTCTTTGCACTCCCTTCCATTTCTGCAGCAGAAATGGAGTCGAATTGCAAATGGAATAAAATCTTGCCAAGTTCCGATTTTTATTCTATCTGGACACAGTCACCCTGGAATCTAGTATGTAATAACTTTCAATTTTTCCAGCAGTGGCCTTACTGTCAGTGTCACCGGTTGCTAGGCTTGTACCATATAATGACCTGGGGCTGACCTGGGGACCTCAGGCTATTATGTTCATAAACATAATAGATATTCGGCGGAATGACAGGCTGAGCGCGGCCCAGTTTACTGGGCGGCGCTCAGCCTGTCATTCCGCCGAATCTTTATTTATGAACATAATAGCCTGGGGTCCCCAGGTAAGGCCCAGTAACCAGTAACCGAGGGCAAGAATCGAATTGGAACATGCCGCAACAATAGGACTAGGAGTACCCACCTATTCATATTGAACTGCACTTGTAGGTTTACAACCTACCAGGACGCGCGCCGAGTTGGACTCGTCGACGGTCCAATATATGGAACAGATATTTTACAGCCGTGCAGCTGTTCCGACTGTTTATTGATGGACAACTCCACTTTATAATGGTGGGATGAGTCAGCACTCATAAAGATGTGTCCTGGTTCCAGATACTTGACCGGTATATTATCCAGTTCAATGTCAGAGCTGTTAATTGTTAATGAGCGAAGCAAAGTGCGAACACAAAGCCGTGTACAGCGTCCAGCACCTTCTGGGCAGAGCAATTGTGCGTCTGCTCACAAAATTATTTCCCGGCTTCCACATATTCTCCCTTTAAAAACGTATTTTAGGGCTTCTCCAGTTCAATGTCAGAGCCGCCTGTTAGTTGAAGTGAGTTGCAGGCGACCTTTTGACACTACACCACGTTGTCAACCTGTCACATAACAGATTAAAGTATATATGTAAATAAGACTACCACTTTTCACGTGATCATATTAGTTTTAAAACCCTTACTACTTACTAGTAATTTTAGCGCCAGACAAATTCTAATCCTACTTAAAATGAGGAAGCACGTAAAGTTCAGTGTTCACAATGCTCCCCAAGGACCCGGAGAAACTGGACTCAATTTTTTTAAGAATATTGAAGGATCAGAGCGAATTGGAAAAGTCATACAGATTCTAACCCGACTTAAAATAAAAAAGCACGTGAACTGTGGAGTTTACAATGGTCCCCAACTCCAAGGACTCGGAGCAACTGAAATAAATTTTATTTAGAATATTGAAGGATCGCAGAGCGTGGAAGTTTCTGAATTAAAAATTAAGCTGCTCGTTGAAAAAAGAATAAAAAGAATAAAAACGTGCCATATTGTCTTCTCACTCCTCGTGTCACGTGGAGTGAGTAGTCAGCTGGAGGTTCTATAAAACACAGGTGCAGCGCCCTACTCATTGTTTGCACGTGCAACGCCCTCCCATGCATTGTTTGCACGTGCACTAGCCCTTGCTCAAGATAGCTTACTTATAAAAGGTTGACATTCATGAGGGAAGAACCACGACATTTCCATTATTCAGTTCTGCTCTATCTGATCAAAACTGGATCTTTACAATAATTTATTTAACGTCAGTATCCGACGTAAGGTTTGAATTTTTAACGTCGATTATCTATTTTAGATTAACTCCCCGCTGAGAAGAGTAAAATCTTTTCATGAACCCTAACTTTTGATGAACCCTAACTTTAACTTGTTAGTTTATAACCTACCAGGACGCGCGCCGAGTTGGACCAAATATTTTACGAGTATCACCCGTTAAACTTTAACACAATTCCAATCTTTAGTCAAAGCATTTACCAAAACTCTTTATAAATTAACGAACAATTTGACATACTTTATTTTCTGATTTCAACTGCCGACATTAGAGTGTATAGTGAAAGAGTGAATAAAGCACACTGGAAAATCTATTCTGTGGATATGGCAGGACTTTCAGCCCGGCATGACAGAGCATAAAATAACTTAAAATCCACTTTTTGATGAGTGTCAGGGCAGTTCTGATGTTTGTACACATTATTTAAATATTCATACGCTTTGATCTGGATAACTTATTGTTTGCCAAAAATAGCCGGATTTAATATCAAAATGATACAAAATTATTTATTACTTTATCATAAAAAATTATAGGTAGCAATGCGACAGATACTTGCGTTAGTATTGGTTGTGTTAACCTTTGTTCACGCTGAAGACGAAACTGTGGTGCCAAGCAGGTGGCACTCGTTGGAGGATCAAGGAGGTAGCGGGTATAGTCTACTTCTTGCAGAAGTAGGAGACGAGATGTTCACCTTATACCGATATAATGGTGGTTATAGCGTCATCCAGGATATGTGTAACTCTACAGAATACAGTGCTGTACCTGCTAATGAAATATTCCCAGATGAAAAGGTGCATGAGTTCCCCTGCATCAATCATCTAGATGAACGTTACCTGGTCAATCAATGTGGCGGCGAACGTTGAGCTGGTTCTGTCTGGGCCTACAAATGTTTGGAAAGTGATGACAACAGCACAGACCCGGAGTTGGAGTGGATTGGAGCCGGTCTTTACTTCCTGAATAATAGAACAGAGGAGATAGAGAAGGGGAGAGAAGGTCTGCTGGTTGTCCACTTTAGTGATCATGAGACTGACGGATGGCTATCTGGTACTGTCTGTGATGACAAATTTAATGACCACGCAGCAGATCTATCTTGCCAGTACCTTGGATACGAATCCGCTGAGGAGTGGGGCAGCGAGAAGGACAGCAAGTGGGGCAACGGCAGACAATTTATCCCTGCTAGTATCCTGGTGGAGTACAACATAGATATATTGGTGGATGACGTATATTGTGATGAAAGCAAAACCAACATAACGGAGTGTGAAGCTGACGTATTGGAAGGACACGACTGTAACATTTTCGAGAACTTGTGGTTGAAGTGTGCTGGCAACAGCTCAGAACCAGAATGGAGGTTCGAACAAGCCTACCTGATGAAGTACCAAGACGATGCACTCTCTTACGGATTTGAGGGACTCCTCCTTGTAACTCTCCGAGACAGAAACGACCCGGCAGTTTCGCAAACTGGCACTGTTTGTGATGACTCATTTAACGACCACGCTGCTAATCTGTCCTGCCAGTATCTGGGATACAAATACGCTGTGGCATGGGGAAGTGCACCACAGAACGACAACTACATTCCAGAACACATTTATGAATTTTTGAAGGACCCTCCCATACTGGTAGACGATGTGCAGTGTGATGAGTGGACAACTAGCATTATGGAATGTGAGGCCCGCTTTATAAACCATGACTGCAGCAGATCGGAGAATCTCTGGTTGAAATGCAGTGAGGACGAGGAAGAAGAGGGGACGGAAGAAGAGGGAACGGAAGAACAAGGACTGGAGTTGGAGTTCGGAGGAGCTAAACTCAATTTGAACCTAAACAAGATCCACACAAAATGGAACTTCTAAGGAGACGATGGTAACAAGAAAACGTCGGGTAGAAGACATATTTTTGAAAAATTTATCATTCACAATTGTAGTATAATAGACAGCATTAAAAATTTCACAATTTCTGTGTTTGAATTTTGTTTCTCTCCAATTGGGATAGGTAACTGGTTATAGAAGCAGTAGTATTAAACTTAATTAATAAGTAGGAAATTTGACCAAAACCCATAATCATGGGTAGAGTGAACCGCTGCCAGTGTCTCTCTTTTCCAAACAAAAGAAAATGATATTAATTTGAGGAACCGTCCGCAAATGCAAATTGATACCGAGAATGAAATCGGTCGCTCGCTTTTCCCATTCAATAAGCTTTATTACAATACGTAAGCCGTGAATGAATGGGAAAAGCGAGCGACCGATTTCATTCTCGGTATCAATTTGCATTTGCGGACGGTTCCTCAAATTAATATCATTTTCTTTTGTTTGGAAAAGAGAGACACTGGCAGCGGTTCACTCTACCCATGATTATGGGTTTTGGTCAAATATCATCTCTTTTTGATTATAATGTCAGGATAATTTACACAGTCGAAACTTAATAAGGAGGTAATTTCAACGATTTCGAAATGTTACCTTTGAAAACGTTTCCTTGTGTTTAGGTAGGCATATCTGTCAATAACAGACTGAATATAGCACTTTTTACTCATTCAAGTTGGCATTAAATTCATATATAATGCCATTTTAATATCGTGGGAAAGCAGAATATATTCGAAATCACGAATGAGCAAAATTCTCACCTTTCGCACGTGCAAACTTTGAGCGGACGTTGCTTGCGCATAAAATATTGAATCACCATAAATTTTTGCATAGTGTTATTTAATATATAGTTTGATAAGCATGAAAAGTTTCAGAAGATTTCAAAAAGAACTTGGATCACAACGGGACTCCAAAGTTGGTAAAAATCGTGAAAATAACAATTTTTAGTGATTTTAGCTATTTTAAATGAATTTGGGCGTGTCCCCACGTGTGCAACTTTTCGATTTTCAACTTTAAAACTAGCCTATAACACAATTTAGACCTTTAGGAAGCAAAATTGAGCTCCACAACCCAAGGGATGGCCCAACACCAGAGAATACTAATTCACAACTTTTGTGTTTTTATAAAATTATTCTTCAAAAAAGCACAAACTTCAATAGCGAATATCTTTATGAAGGAGCAAGGTAGGAAAACTTTCCGGTAAATTTTCAGAATGCTTGAACAATTATCTAAGATGAAAATGTCCTCAGATTTTGAATAAAATTACTCCTTAATGCTTTAAAATCGATTTGAAAAGTTGTTATTTTGTCAAAAATCAAGTTTTAAAAACACTTAAATTGATGACGTCATCAAGTGATGATGATGACGATAAATTATTTTTCGATATAATGTAAACTAAAGTATAAACAATTATCTTTAAAACTTGTGGTTCGAAATGACTGTATCTTTTATACTTTTGAATCTACGGACACTTAAATGTAGGCTACAATTTACTGCAAAAGCGTCTATACATATATATATAGCTTCACGACAATCTGTTGTAAAACAGGGGTTCCAGAAAACCCACTTCCCGATACTCCTGCAACATGAAATTTTTTTCACAGTCGATTTGGACAAGGTCTAGACGCTCTGCAAAGTTTCAGATCTCTAACTCAATTTTAACATGGTTTTTAAGGCACCTGAATATGGCGATTTTGGGTTTTTTACCTAATTTCGTATAACATGCTGGCGCGTATTTTGCGCAAATTTCTTAAAAACCTCCACATAACTATATTTCTTATTCCTGTCATCTTTAACATTGAATTAGAATGTTTTGAACTTAAATATACCTGCTGAACTACTTTCGATGAGTCTTAATGCCTGGAAAACAATAAAGGGGATATAATAGTATAGGGGGTACATAGTGTTGTGAATATAAGGGCAACGGTTATGCTTGCCAGCATTGTGATTAAACATTAGTTGATTTATTCGCTCCGTGAAAACAGTTGCAGACAAATACAGTAAAGTCATAGAATTATCAAAATCAACTACCTTACAAGACATTTTTGTGGCGGACCAATTTGCGACGACCGAAATTTTGGCGGTCCGAAAATGTGGCGAAATTGAACAAAAACCGTCACATTTCGGACGTCACAGAAAATAAGGGTATTTTTCATCATTTTGTTTTCGACACAAAGGAAATTCAAAATTTTCTAAAAATCGGTAAAATCATGTTGAAACAAAATGAAACTTATAAATCGATTTCTTCATCTTCCTCTAAGGGGTCCGGCTCGACTCTTTCAGTTTCACTTATTGAGTTTGGTATTAAATTGTTTATCTTGACTTAGTCTCTTATAAGACGTTTATGTTAGCACATAAATGTAATTTATTGTAAATTTAAAACGTATTACTTGACATTAAATTCATCATGGAATATTGTGTTTATTTGTCCCACCATCATATAATCACTAACTTTTCAAGAACAAAATGAATCGATGTAGCCACAATTATTGGAATAAGCTAAAAATAATGCGACGGATTCTATTACGACGACCGAAATTTTGGCGGTCCGAAAATATGGCGAAATTTCGGGAAAACCGTCGCATTTCGTACGTTATGAAAAAGTCTTGTAAGGTATAGTAAACAAGTATATTACTATGTAATTCAGTTTGACGAATGAATGCTATGACAAAGAATATTGTATAGCTCAACAGGATTTATACTGTTGATATCGATGGTCATGTTCATTAACCGATGATCATCACTGATTATTTAAGAGCCAGTGTATATCTCTTTTGGTTTTGTGGAGTATTGATATTGATTGTATTGATCGATCCATCACGATCCTCAAACATATCAATACTTAAACATTATTAAATAATAATCGCTTAAGTGAAATGTAATCGATTCAAATTTGAATCGACTATGATGCAATACTGATTTTCTTAACCGTTTATGATTATCGCAGTTGTCAGTTATCATAATCGTGGTAGACCGATCCCAAACGTGTCATTATGCAACTACAAGGTATTGTTGAATTTTAATTTCAGCTGAACTTTCGACCGACCTTTAAACTGGATATCATTATTAACGAAAGCCATCATGGCTGGAACATAATATGATGTAAAGTAATTTATGCAGGAGCCCTGTTTGTAATCATCCTCACTGATGATTTTGTATTATTCAAATAATATATTAGTATACATTGTACAGAAAACTCCGAATTACGACCAAGAATAATTTGCCGGGGTCCTCTGATCATAACATCTCTATAATAATAATAATATTAAATAGCAATAAATACAATTATAATTGTAGTTATTGCTCCTAATTACGACCGGAGAAACGCTATCTTAGGACGCGAAGAGAGTTATACTTATAGGACTACATTGAATCAATTCCTTCTGTCACGTCTTCATTAATGTAATGGATTTGTAGTGTTAAATATGTTTAAACATACATATTATATAAATATATTTTTATCAAAACTTTCCAAATACTTCTTCCATATGCGGGGAAATGGTCCTAAAAGTGAAACAAGGGTTTCAGCGTATCGGTTATTGTAAGCGGTAGTTTTAGATAAGTTTAGTTTGGCGTAAGATAAGGCGGTAGTGGTAGTGCAGTTTCAAACTAATTAATTCGAACCTACTTAAAGTAAAAGTGAATTAGAGATTAGATTATCCATTTTCACACTATCGATTGCAATACATTCTCCTCTACATTAATCTGAACTCCACGGGTCTTGGTTCACTGTTAACCAAAGCAGATGCGAAACTGAATACCAGATCGTAAATTTCTAGATTACATTTTTTTGGATCTCTCTAGTCTCTATGTTTAACATACCACATCTATATTATCTGAATCTGTAAATGTTGATTATTCGACCTTTCGACTGACTATAACATCACTTGACTAATCTAACTCTATTTAAACTTCTCAGAAAATGTTGATCAACTGCACACATGGGAACAGGTCCATATTCGGTATGAAGAGTGACGTCATCAGGCACAGTGACGTCATCAGGCACACCTGGATCCTCTACTATCTCCTCGTAACATTCTTCTCCTTCAGCGGAGACATGACCATCTTGATTGCCTCCATAAAGTACAAAGCATTCAGACTACACAACTTTATCATTGCCGTGATGCAGCACATTGCGGTATGTGACATGGCTGTGTGCACCTTTTGGGTGTTCCCCAGACTTATTTCACTGATAGCTGATCAATGGGTTCTGGGGGAACAGTTCTGTCAGATTCAGCCTTACATGATGTATTACTTTGGAACAGCTTGCCTGCTCCTGACATGTGCCATGGCAGTTAGCAAGCTGAGTATCCTAAAGTTCCCGAAAAGGTCCAGATACCTCACACCAGAGAAGTCCCACCAAGTATGCGCGGTGGTCTGGGCGGTATCTTGGAATGTCCCCATCACATTCCTAGATGGTGTGGACGTTTGCTTCGACCTGAGGACCTACTCCTGTGATTTCACCACACCAACCACCACATCCTCTCTTCTCATATCAACCGTACTGAACCTGGTCATACCTAATGTTCTGGTTGTAACATCAACAAGCCTGATTGTGATGCATCTACTCAAAGCTAGAAGAGCTGCTAGACGAAGTAATGGTAAAGAAAGGTGGCAAGGACTCGTCACTACCATTGGTACAGCTGTGTTGTACACAGTTTCCGTTGTACCGTTAACAATTTACTGCTTCGCAATGTCTTTTGCAGCAACAAGTAAACCAGGTCTCAATCGAATAAGCTTCTTTCATTATCACTTTTACAGATTCGCAACAGCAATTATCTTGCTGAATATTTTGGCCAACTTTTTCATTCACAGTCTGACTGTTTTAAGTTTTAGAAGATTCCTTTGGTCGGGGACAAAATATTAAATTTTTGTTTTTGGAAATTGTGAAGAAAACCTTTCAAACGTATACTAGGTTAGATTTGTCTTCTTTATGCATTTATGTTATTCCTGCTTTTATTATTAATAATATTAATATGGTGTCTGTTTGTATCACATAGTGTACAGAGGTGCGAGGGAGGAGAGAGACACGTACCTACCTAAAACTAGTTTAATGTAACGAGAAATTGCTGTTAAGGACCTCGCTTGCCAGGA